AAGAGGCAAAAAAGAGGCCCTCCCCTATAGCCTGCAGAAGAGCACAGCTCAGCCTACAGGTTGATTTGACTCAGTGAAACTGATCTTGGACCTCTGGCCTCTAGAAATATGAGAAGAGATTTTTGTTGTTTTAAACCAACAAATTTCTGGCAATTTATTATAGCAGCCACAGGAAAGGAGTATAGTGAATAAACAATTCACTCGAATGCCAGGTATTAGCGCCATGAAGACAGTGCATAAATTAGAGTAGGAGCTCGAGAGTGATGAAGGGCGCTAAGGGACTGAGGCTACTGGGGAGATCTGTGAAGAACATGAGCGGGGGGAGTCAGAACTGCAAATCCACAGTGCTTCAAGACAAGTGAGCTAGGAAAAGGAAAGGATGGCCCACTCTGGCCTGCCCCACCTCTGGCACGGCTCATGTAAGGTCATAGTGGAGAAGAGAAAGAGCTGGGTATTTACTCCACTTCCTGATGTGTCCCCATTCCCTTTGTAGGGTATCTGTCAGACAGTCCCTCCAACCAGTGACTACCGCTACTTCTGGGGCTATGGGGCTATGCTCGTCCTCCTCGCTTTCCTCAGCCCTGCCGGCTCTGTTGTAAACATCCATGTACCAAGCTCTCCTCAATTATCCCTACAGAATGTGCCTGGTGTTTCCTGCAAGACCCTGTCTGGCATATGAGAGGGCTTCATGGAAAGTGGAAGGAGAAGATCATGGATTTTTTCCAACAATTATTTTTTTCTTCTTCACTTTTTATTGTGAATTGAGTAAAGGTTTATAGAGCAGATCATCAGTTCTACATTCAACAAACCACACACTTTGTTTCATCTCAATGATTGCAATCCCCTCCATGTATCATCACTTACCCCTACTTCCTCCCTGGGTTTCTTGTTTCCACTCCGCCTCCTTCCTCAGCCTTTATGAACTTTGTCATTTAGTAAACATTGTCCTTTTGATCTTGAAGGGTTGACCCTTCTATGATATGTTGTTGTTGTTAAGTGACGTCGAGTTGGTTCTGACCCATAGCGACCCTGTACAGGGTTTCCAACGCTGTAAATCTTTACGGGAGCAGAAAGCCTCATCTTTCTCCCGCAGAGCGGCTGGTAGTTTCGAACTGCTGACCTTGCAGTTCGCAGCCCAATTCGTAACCACTACGCTACCAGAGCTCCTTTCTATGATATATCTATGATATTTCTATGATATATCATATCTATGATATGTATACTTCCTTATATTGTTATCCCTCCTATACACCAATTTCTCCCCCAGCTTTTGGAACTCTCCTCACAGAGTTGCTAGTTACTATCCTCTCCAGCTCCTGGAGACCCTATGACCATAGAACAGAAAGTTGCCCAGTCCTGCTTCATCATTAGGATTGCTGGCATGCTGGAGTTCATTACGACGGATATCAGGGTAATTCATCTCATTGAGAATCTCCCTCCTCTTCACTGGCCCTCCACTTTACTAAGTATCATGCTCATCTCCAGCAATTGGTTCTTCCGGAAGAAGCACCCCAGCTAAGCGAGTCAAAGTCTAGAACAAGATTCTGTTAAAATCCATAGGATTTTCAATGGCTACTTTTCAAAAGTAGATTGCCAAATCTTTCTTCCTGGTCTCTTAGCCTAGCTCAGCTGAAATCTGTCCCTTAAGGGTGACCCTTGGTGGTATTTGAAATACTCACTGCATAGCCTCCAGCATCATAGTAATATACAAGTCATTACATCACAACAATTTGGCAGAATAGTGGTGGGCCTGATAAATGATCAATATGTTCTTCTTGTTATTATTAAATACCATCTAACCCTGCACAGGTTTTCCGAGCCTATAAATCTTTATGGGAGCAGAAACTCTCACCTTTCTCCCACCCAGTGGCTGGATTTGAACTTCTGGCCTTGTGATTAGCAGTCCGGTGCTTATCCTACAGCACCATCAGCATTCCAAATAGCCTATATTTATAGGCTCTATCCAAGCAAAGATGTTGCTGCTCAGCTCTGGAGGGCCTCTGTGCCTTCTGGGGATACTTTACCACAGGTAATCTAAGTACACCTGAGCAACAGGCAGGTGTGAGGGCGCCAACATCTATTTTCTTCCCTCCCATGGGTAATTGTTTGCACCCAGAGGTGAGAGCCCCTACTTTGCTGGCTTTATTGACCCAGAGGCCTGGTTAGATACTTTTACTCAAAGATTAGCAGGGACCTGAGTCTGGATTGATTTTGATGAGGATGGGTCTTGGTGAAAGAGGACTGTTTCCAAACCCCTTCTTCCAGCATTGTAGGATTCACCATTTCCAGTGCTGGACCGGGTCCCCATATTATGGGAACAGTTCTTCGGATCACTTCACTCCACCAAAATCCTGCCCAGTTGTGCCTCCTGGGCAGGGCAGCGCCAGCTCTAGGGACAGCTCAGCGGGGCAGAGGCCCATTTCTCCTGCGGTCCTACCCCTGGAACGCCTTGGCCTGCCTGTGAGCCCCCACCCCCGCACCCCCGCTCCCGGTGAGGGGACAGTGATTGCCCCTTTGCTGTGGGTGTCCATGGGTACTCTGGCTAGGGTCGCCGGTGCACTCCCCAGAGTTGCCCTGGGATTCCATATCCCTTAAGCGTTCAGCATCACTCCTACATTCCAGCTTTCGGCTCACGCATCTCGATGCGGTTGCGCAGTCCTTCCGGGAAAGAGGACGAACGAAAGGCGGAGAAGGAAGAGCAGAAGAGGGGAAGAGGGCGGACACGGAGGCGGGACTGGGGCGGGGAAGAGGTGGGACCGTGGGCGGGACCTGAGGCAGGGTCGCGCAGGGCTGTTCCAGCAGCTCCCCAGGCCTGGCCCCGCCCCACCCTTCCTCCGTGCCGCAGCACATAGGCCCCGCCTCG